CTTCCTGGGCTGAATGCAGAGATGACTCCCTGAGCTGCTGCCCTATCTGTGAAATGGGGTGAGGCTGACCACCTCACAGACTGTGGCAGCTGAGCAAAAAGTGGCTCAGATGGGACTTGGCACATCAGGAATGCTCAAAAGATATTCTCTTCCTTCCTCCCCCTCCAGCCAAAGATACTCTCAGTGGCTCCCTATTGAACACCAAGCAAAGACTCCACTCTGTCGCCCTCCCCTCAGGCACTTCCTCACCCACTGCCATCACACTGGGCCACCTCCCACCTTTGCCTGGCTGTACTCCCTCCGGCCTACCATGTCCTTGGCTTGATTTGGTCTTGCATTGCTATGGATCTGTGTGCCTATCTGCTCTCCTTGAACCCAGCTAGACTGTGAGCTCCTAGAGGCAGGGACCACAGGGGGCCCCTCCTGCAAGCCCCAGAGCCTAGTGTGAAGTTGACACCCCACCATGTCTGTCCGTCCAGTGAAGGACTGTGGAGCTGGGGGTGAGGGGGTGCCATCTGGTCATTCTGTCCACGCAGGCCTCTGCTGCTCCCCCCATACTCTCTTCTTCCCAGAATGTAGCTGTCTACCCTACCCAGGACGTGCTGTAGGCTGGTCTTTCTCGGACAGGGTGTCGAGACACTATCGCTGAGATGTGGTGACCTAAGCCAGCTCCCTTCCCACTCTACAGATCACAGACCTGAAGTCCAGCGAGGAGAGGTCACACAGCAATCAGAATTAGACACCAGGTTCCAGGTGCTATCTTCCCAGTCTGGGGCTTGCTCTCTATCCCTCCCCGTGCTTGTGTATTCTGAAGGGTTCCATGGGCAGTTAGAGGAGGTGGAGGCTACAGAGTGCTGCCCAAGGAATTGTGGACAGTGAGGTCCCACAAGGCCCTATCAGGGCCTCCATCCCCAGGGGGTTCCCACCTCTGCCCCTACCCAAAAACCCTGCGGTCGTCCTTTGAGAGGCTTAGCCCACTGCCCTTTGACTTGGACGTCTGTTGCTCTGCCGTTAATTCCCTCTGCCCTGATGTTAAGCATTGCCCTCTGCAGGGGACTTGTGGAGCCCAAGGGGAATGGCCTAGGGAATGTCCCAGTCCTTCGGAGTCTTTCCCTGGCAGGAGGGCTTGGGAGAGGAGAGGGCACAGCCCAATGAGGTATGGGAGGAGGGGATACAGCTGGGATGAATGTGACCCTCCGCAAAACATAAAGGTGATTTATTAGAGGTGTCAGTATTTCCAATTATAAACGTAACGCCCACCCTGGAAAGTTCAAAATAGTACAAAAAATTGTGCTGGAGTTGCAGCTTTAAACCCGGCTGTGCAGGGAAGACCCAGAGGACACTCCCACTCAGACCCCGCCTTCGGAGGGCTCATGGTCAGGAGGAGCCAGGCCTGTAAGTACCCCCAGAGGAGACTGCGGGTAGTTCAGAGGAGACAGGTGAAGTTCCCTAGTGGGAGTCAGGAGGGCACCCAAGGGGAAGGCCACTTATCCTGTGGAGGAGGCTTTGAGCAAGAGGTGAGGGAAAGGCATTCATGTGGTCACTGTGAGCAAAGACCAGGGGGCTGACACCAAGGGCCAGTGAGCTGCACACGCTCCAAGGGCAGAGGCCACGAGACAGGACTCGGTGTCCAGGGCCCAAGAAGGCTGAGGTCTCATCCAGGGAGTGCTGATTGAAGCGGTTTGACCTCAGGAAGCCCTCCAAACCCTCAGAGAGGGAATTGGAGCTGGGGAGACACAGGTAAGAGCAGAGGCTTGAGGGCACCAGAGCACAGAGGGAAGGAGGACTGGGGGATTGTGGATGCCCCATCTCCCCTGCCCTGGCTATTGCTGGGCTCTGGAGGACACCCTGGGGCTTTTCCAGGGCTGGGCAGGGAGCACACTATGCCTAGCCCCCTGTCTGGCATCCTCCTCCCACCTCCCTGCCTCCGGATGTGGGTGTAGAGCTGCCAGCTCCTTGCTGCGATGGGAGTGATTAGATTAGAAGGTGATTTGGGGTTCTGATTATCTTGGGTGGAAATTGGCCCCCTGCATCTTTTTCCATCCTGCCTTGGCTTGGGAGGTGGGGAGCAGCCTCTCGGTTGCCACCTAAGCCAGAGAACCAATGCTTTCATTTCCAGCTAACCTTTCTACTGATGTGTCTCAGACCAGAATGTGAGGGCCTTGTTCCCTGGGAGCAAAGTGGAAGGTAACAAAGACAACAGGCTCGGGGACAGCAGAGAGTTCCAGTCCAGGCTCTGCCCCTCACCAGCAGAGTGACTTGGCAGGCCGCCTTTCACTCTGAGCCTCAGTTTCCTCCAGTTTAGGGACTAGATGAGATCATTGAGCATGAAGGGAAGCACATGCCCTGCACACAGTAGGTGTTCTACAGAGGTCAGCTTGGGTGGCTGTTACTGCTCTCTGTGAATACAACATAGTATATTCCTTGCTCTCCTTTGAAGAGTCTCCAGTGATACCCCCCATAAGACCTCAGTTTCTCAGCATCTGTCTAATGCTGATATGTAACAACCCCTCCTCTTAGGCCCCTCACAAGCTGAGCCAGTGCCCAGGGAGACATCTGGTCAGCAAGTTATTATAATGACCAAGATCCCGTTATTGGGCCTCACCAGGGTGATGGAGCAGGGGTGCTCCAGGGTCTGCCTGTGATGAGAAATCACCAGGCCTGGGATCCTCAGCCTGGAGCCAGTGTCTGAGCTCATTCTGTGGTCCTCACTGTGCCCTGCTGAGAAGGAATAAAAAGCACTGTCCTTCTGTCCTGGGAATGGCCAAAGAGCTTGCCATCAGAGAGCTGGGTTCTGCACGCCCCCTGTGTGATCCTTCATGACTTGGTTTCTGCATCTGTGCATGAACAGGTTGACATTTACCTACCTGGGATCATGGGAGAGTGTCTGTCTCCCTGAAAGCCCTTTGAGATCCTGAGATCCTGGAGACTACGAGGCTAGAGTGTTGCATGCACACACATACACACACACACACATACATGCATGCACACACACACAGGCACACACACACAACACTGGGATAGTGCTCAGATCCTAGAAGGAAAGGGACAAGGTGAGTGATGCCACTTAAAAAGCAAAAACAGATTCCTTGCTTAAGGAAAGCTCTTTAGGTCCTGACTCAGAACCCCTCAACTCTTATTTTAGATACAATTCTAATGAGTTTCCTCACATGACTTCAAATCTGAAGCAAACCAAAACACAGTAAGAGATAAATTATGCTGAAAAGAGGAAGATGTGGCACCCAGTCACCAGGGGACAGAAAGAACTCTAAGGGGCAGAAGTGAATTCAAGAAGCAAGGCGTAGCATGTCAGAGAGTCATTGTTGTGGCTGTCAGGGCCCCTGTGATACCGTCTATCTAGGCCAGGATGGAATTCTTACTCCCCCATGTGAGAAGGTAGTGTGTCCTGCATGGTAGACAGCTTTCTAATCAGAGTAGCAAAAAATAAAAACGGGAAAAAAAAATTGTGTGCCTGGAGAGCCAACCTTCCAGGATCCAAATCCTTCCAGCACCAATCAAAGGACAAAGGACCAGCAGTGCTGCATTCCCTCACTGCTAGCACTGGGTGGGCGTAGCTGCTGTCCACTTCCCAGACTGGGTCCCAGCCGCCCTCCTGGGGTCACCTTTGCTTCCCCAGTTAGGCCGTGGCTTCAGTGGGCTTATTTTCCCCCAATTTTTACAATTATATTAATAGCAAAATACACATAACATAGAATTTACCATTTTAACCACTTTTAAGTATATGGTTCAATGGCATTAAATATATTCACATTGTTGTGCAACTGTCACCACCACCCATCCCCAGAACTCTTTTCATCTTCCCAAATTGAAACTCTGCACCCATTAACACTAATTTTCATCTCCCTTCCCCAGCCCCTGGCACTCATCATTCTACGTTCTGGAGTCATATGGAATTTATGCTCCTTTCATGGCTGGCTCACTTACTTACTGCAGGGTTCTCAAGGTTCATCTATGTTGTAGCCTGTGTTCAAGTTTCTTTCTCTTTAAGGCTGAATAATATTCCATCAAGTGTATAGACCACATTTCTTTCCCCTCTGCAGCTTATCCTCCCTCTGAAGCCCTTGTGTGCTGTTGGACAAGTTGCTCTCTGAGCCTGCATGGTGGAGGGACTGCCAACAACAAGACTCTCTTATCAAACAAAAGCTGACACTGAAGCCCCAAAAATAAATAGAAATAGAGCCAACCCTGACCAAAGGCCTCCTTCACCCCCATAGCCACCCTTCCAGCCCCCAGAAAGAATTTGAGGGCTCTTTGGAACCCAGTTTGAGAAATATAAAGTTCTAGGAAAGAGTTTCTTAACGTTTCTTGCAGCATAGACCCCTGGGAAGTCTAGTGTCATCATGTGCCACCCCAACTCCATATAAAACCTTGAAATATATAAAATGAAATGCATTGGATCACAAAGGAAATCAATTATATTGGCATAAGTAGAAAAAAATGTGTGGTATAGTGATGAGTGTACTTTATGAAAACTGAATAACAAGATCTAGCAAGCAATTGCATAACCACCTTATTTATAAAATAGAGATGAGCACCAACAATGCTGTAATAACTGTAAAGTGATATGAAAAAATCTAAAGAAAAAAGTCTGTGATTTTTGTAATGTGTATAGTGGCATCATGCACTCCAGGACACTCCTGGAGTTTGCTGTCTACATCTGTAAGGGTGGGGAAGGAGTGGGGAGAAGGAGACAGAAGGAGGAAGTAACCCTGCAGGGCAGGTAGTAGGTGGTGGGCCTGGGGCTTATTTGGGGTACCTGAGAACTGACAGATAACAGTGTTTCCAGCCCAGCACTCTCCTGAGGTGAAAGCATCTTGAAAGGACCCACCACACACACAGTGTGAATCTTAACTGTAGGTGGTGCCCCATGACCTCAGCAGGCAAAGACCCAGGAGCTAACTGAGACTTCCTTTCTTCACTCCTTTGGGGAGAGGGCTTCAGCCATGCAATGGTAACTAGGCTTTTGTCCCCTTTCCCAGGGACCCACGTGATGGAGGGCTCAGGAAGGATGTTGGTGACTGCTGTGGGTGTGAACTCTCAGACTGGCATCATCTTTACACTGCTGGGGGCTGGTGGTGAAGAGGAAGAGAAGAAAGACAAGAAAGGTAAGCCTAATCCCCTTGCAGGCCAGGAGAGGAGCTCTTAAGGCCACATTTTTTTGTTTGTTTGTTTATTTGTTCACTCAACAAAATAGTTATTGAGTGCCTTCTATGTCCACACCCTGTGCTGACAGCCACCTCATGCATCCTTAAGGCCTGCACGGGCCAGGTAGGCTCTGTCTGTTCCATCTTCAGGGTCTTGTCCCAGTCTGTCTTGTCCAATCATGTCATGAAAGCCCCTCCTTCCCCTCTGTGCCAAGCCAAGGATGCTGACCATGTTGTTGAGTCTCCACCCTCAAGTGGTAGAAGCAGCCAGCATCAATTGGTCCCTCATCACTCCAGTATTGAGTAGAAATCTCCACCCAAGCATATTCCTTCCAATATTGTCAACTCCACTGAGCAGAACTGAAAATCCACCCAGCACAGATTCATCTAAGACATGGGCAGAGGAGATTCTGGGAAAGGCAGCCATATGCATGGCTTCAAATCAACTATTATGAGTTTGCTCTCCAGTGCTCCCAGATCTGCCATCTTGTCTGAGTTCTGGTTCTTCCTCCTTCTTGGAAATAAGATTCCTTATTCACTGGTCTCTCCTCAGTGTAGTAGACTAACCACCCAGGCCAAAAATATCTCTCAGAACAGAGGAGGGATACTCACACAAAAAGCTCAAGTCTCATTAGGCCAGGCACAAATCCAAAGGCCCAGGTTTCTGGTCCCAGCACAGCTGACTCCTTACCTGTCACCACACTTGGTCTCAGAGATAGCCCCCCTTTCACATTTTCAGTGTTTTGTCTCCTTCCTCAAGCTCTAGGGCAGGATCTGTGACATTCAGAACTTCTGGAATCCCAGAAGGTAGATGAGAGGACAGATGGCCACTCCCTGAATTTTAGGGGCAGCCCTGCTCCCTCCAGCTCTCAGAGGCCAATCTGGTACAGAGCTTAGGTCAAGATTGAAAGTTACTTGCTCATGAAGGCGAAACCCATTTTCTAGGGAGTCCCCTAAGATTATGTTGGCTCCTCCCAGCAGGAACAATGGAGCTGAGCTATGTTCTGGGAAATTAGGAGGCTAAAGTAAAGAAGTGCTGAGGCTGAAACTGAGAAAAGGGGCCTGACCAAGAGTCCCAGAGAACATAAGGTGATTGTGCATATGCTGGGTTTGAATCTATGGTCAGGATGGCTAAGCCCTATTCCACAATGCCAGCAGTTGGGCAGATCTGAGCAGGTAGGCAGGATGCAGCAATTTGTATCCATTGTCTTCACCTCACTGAGGTCTGGGTGAGGGGAAAACGTCCCCAGACTCTTCCATGGGCCAGATCTGTGATTTTTAAAATGCCAGTAGGGCCAGATCTGTGGTTTTCTAAATGCCAGTAAGAAGACAGGCCTCAGATGCCCCAGAAGCACAGTTTAGAGTCCTTCACTGAACACTCACCTGCACCCCAGTGAGATTGAGATGTCAGAAAACAGCCTGTGTGGAGAGAAGATGGTGGAATGTGGAGGGGTCGTGGCAGAGGAAGCCTGGGGGGACAGCCCAGCATCTCAGGCCACCATGAGCAGCATGACCTCAGCTGGTCACCCTCTGCCCTCCCATCTCATTACCTCCACGGGACATTGCTTAGAGCCCACCAGCCACGTGTCCCCATTTCAGGATGACCCTAGGTGTGTGGCCATGTGTGTACGCACGTGTGTGTGTGTGTTTGTGTGTGTGTGTGTGTGTGTGTGCGCGCGCGCATGGGCAGATAAGGCTGTGTGCTTCTCCTTCATTAACATGTCTCAAAAATCATCACACAGGTGTGAAGAAGGGGGATGGCCTTCAGCTACCAGGTACAGTAAGACACCCTCAGGGTAGATGGGCTTTTAGAAATAGCAGCAGGCTTTGGCCACCAGGCCCTGCCCCAAGACCACCAGCACACAGCTGGAGGAGGCCACATGCCTGTGGGTGGCTCCACCCCCCAGACCCTCCTCTGCACCCTCATATGATGCCAGCCCTGTGGATCAAGCCAACACCCCACTCTACCCTCTTGCCCGTACAGTGCCTCATCCTACTGGCCAATGCCAAGTGGCACCACCACCATCTCCACACCACCCTCAGCCCTGCATACCAGCACACAAAGCTTGCTCACCATCACAGGGCCCCCCCAGCCCCTGCTCTCCCCACCAGCACCCCCAGGGAGCCCATGCCCTCACACAACAGTGTGGTTCACCCAGTGGGGCCCCTTCCCTCTCCTGCCCATAGAACACTATTCCCCACCCCCAAGAAAGAGCAAAGGGTGTGAATTTAGCCATCTCATATCACTTTTAATTTCTAAATTAAGAAAAATTCACTAGTGCCTTTTCTGTCTCATACAAAATGCAACATACTTGATGTCACCTTTTAAATTTGGGAGGCATCTCACATGAGGGTTCCCAAAGCAGTCTCTGGAATGCCAGTTAGGGAAGGAGGCAGTGGCCTGAATCAAGGGCATGAATCCAGTTAAGTCAAAGTACTTACCATTAGCAAATGTTCTGTAGAACACCCTGGTGTACGGAGATGGTGGTCTTGGAGAATACTCATTTTGAGTGGTCCGTGCCCACCCTGCACTGCCTGTGAATATTTTTCCACTCCTGGCCAGATTCCCTCATTTTATGGAACCCTCTCTGCCAGGGGCTCCCCTGACTGCTTGGACCAGCAAGGTCCAGACCTTAGCACAGACTATCACCCTCCCACCCAACCCTCCTGGTCATCCGCCATGCTTTCTTTGAAAGACCCTCCATGTCTGAGTTTCTCCCCTCCACCTCTGCGGCATCTCTATGGAACATTTCACCGCCACCTCAAATTTGAGTTTCTTGGTTTCCAATGGAGGATTTTTTTTAAGAATAGAGTCACGTTATCTCCCCGCAAGTGGGTTCATGTCTTTGTTGTTGTTGCTTTTCTCCATTGTGACACTGCATTTTCCATCCCTCCCACCCCCCTGCAGCAGCAGACGGTGCGGCAGCTTCAAATGCTGCAGATAGTGCGAATGCCAGCCTAGTCAATGGTATGTCTCCCACGGCGAGCTCCTGGTCGTGGTTGGATGGGCGTCTCTCCCCCACCCCAACTCTGGGCTTTCTTTCCTTGTTCTGGACTGCACAGATCTCGGATGTGCATGGGCCGCTGGGACAGTCACCCTCTCACATGGGGCAGGCGCTTAAGACAGGAGCCACAGCCGGGGAGTCAGCTCTGCACCCTGTCAGCCTCACAGCTGCCAAAAAGGTGCTGACTCCTGCAGGGCCCTTGACCCCCCATGGAGCCCAGACAAGGGACAAGACTTTGGCTTCAGATTGGCTCCCAAGAAGCAGCATCCCACCCGGCGTGGCCCTTTCCTAAGCGTATTCCTGGCCCTGGCTTTGGGAAGAAGGCCTGGGGTCAGGACTTGGGCTGAAGCTGGCATCTGGGTCCCCAGCAAAGGCTCCGGCCCTCAACTCTAAAATTTCCTCGAGGCAAGGGGACCCAGGCCGAGATTCAGTTCCTTGGCCCTGTCCTGCAGCATGGCTGAGCCACCAGTAAACATTTTTTCCTCTTCTCTTTCACGGAGCCAATGGGCAGGGGGTTCGCTTGGGCTCGGGCCTGGTTCTGTCCCTCGGATGTGGACTGGTGTTTCTTGCTATTGCCTGTGCTGGAGCGTTTGTCCTGGGTCTCAGGGGTGGAGGGTGGGGGAGAGGGGCTGCCACTGTGTACTGGGGTCTGCATCTTAACCTTCTTATACACAGGCAGGAAGGAATTCCATTCACTTGCCCCAAAGCCTTCAGATGTCAGATTTCTATCCCCTCCTGGCTTCAGAGCAACAGACAAGGCTTCTGTTTACTCAGATGCCACCCCTCTCCCCAAATTAGGTAACATAATAGTCCCCCAGACTGCTCCTGAACTGCCAAGAACCATTAGGGCTCCATCATGAAAATATGATGGGGGAGTATTATGTTACCTAATGAAAACATGATGGAACCCTGATGTCTGGGAGCCCCAGAGAAGCTGAAGGCAGGGGAAAATCTTTTTCCCCCCGTCTCTGCATACTAGGCACTGGGCTATGGGTTTCTCAACCATTGTATCATTCACTCCTCGCCACTACTGCAAAATGTAGAGACTTATTCCCCACAGCCTTATCCCCTGCCCTAGACCTCTGCCCAAGCCACCTGCATTCAAAGTGACCAATGATGGAAGCACCTTGTAGGTGTCAGGGCTGAGTAAGGTACTTCTGTGAGGAGTGCCTTGCCAAGAAGGACTAATTCTGGTGTGAGTCTATTTCAGGCACAGGAGGAGGAAGGAGGACAGCTTGGGGAGTGGGAGGTGTCATGCCTCAGGGAGGGGTGGCTGAGGGTGACAAGGAGAACCCATGTGGGCAAACCCACAGCTGGAATAGAAGGAACCCGGAGGGGGCACCCACTTCCCCCATGGCAGTGAGCTTGCTGAGCTTTGTGAACATACAGACCCCATCCAGGCTGGCCAGTCCCAGAAGAAAAGGCAGTTTCACTTCTAAACTGCAGCAGAAAACCCCAAATATCCCAAGAAAAATGGCAGGAAAGATGGAAAACTTTCATTTCTTGATCACTTTCTGTATACCAGGCATGGTTGAAAGCATTTCATGTTCACTGTCTCATTTAATCCTCGTGACAACCCCATAATATGGGCTTTATTGTCCCCACTTTAAAGATGAGGAGACTGAGGCTCAAGGAGACCAAGACACTAGCCTAAGGTCACAGAGCTAAAAGTGGCAGAGCTAGGATTTGAACCCAGAGCCCAGACCTGGCTGGCTCTAAAGTGTGTGCTTCTCCTCCTGATCCAGGATTTCCCAGTGGAGTACATCTTATAAGTTTCACAAGGATGTTAAGAGGTCTTCACCCCAGGAAAAGGATTCTGTAGTCAAAAATGTTTAAGAACCACTGGATTGAATTGGTCTCTTCCTGGTTATAGGACTGCTTAGGGCCTTGAATATGCTGGTGTGTTGTGGAGAGTTACTGAGTCACACAGAGTTTCCTAGGCTGATTTGACTGTAAGACCTTTCCTGGCTGAATCCTGTGGGATTGGTATGCCCTGTAATATGCTCAGGGAGACAATGCTCTAAGCCATTGTTATTCCAAATGTGATCACAGGACCCACAGCCTATGTATCACCTGGGAGCTCCTTAGAAAAGCAGACTCTCAGACCCCACCCCAGACCAACTGAAGGGGAATCTGCATTTTAACAGGCTTTCCAGACTCCAGGTGAGAGCACTACACAGTTGAAGAGGCACAAGACAGAGCCTTGCTGATTGAGAGGGAATTAAGTGTTCTTTCCCCTCCTTCCCCTGAGCCAAATCACAATGACTTGGATATGGGGGAAAAAAAAGAAAATAGGGTGCCAGTATTCCCTTTGACCCTGCTCTCCCAAGCCTCCAACTAACAGATGGGTGTGGTCCATTCATCTTGGAAGCATTATGATTGTCATTATTATTTATTTTTCTTTTACACTTATTAGTGTGTCACTATATAATACATGACCTGTAATCGTGGTTGTGATCACATTTCATTATACATCATGAGGCTGAACACAGTGGCTCATGCCTGTAATCCCAGCACTTTGAGAGGCAGAGGCAGGTGGATTGCTTGAGGTCAGGAGTTGGAGACTAGCCTGGGCAACATGGTAAAACTCTGTCTCTACTAAAAATTTAAAAAAATTTTAAAAATTTAAAAAAAAAAAAAAATATATATATACACACATACACACATACATACAGTAGCTGGGCATGGTAGTGAGCACCTGTTATCCCAGCTACTCAGGAGGCTAAGGCAAGAGAATCGCCTGAACCCAGGATGTGGAGGTTGCAGTGAGCCAAGATCACACCACTGCACTCCAGCCTGGATAGAAGTGACTCTGTTTCAAAAAAAAAAAAAAAATTATACATCATAGGCTGGGCACAGTGGCTTATGCCTGTAATCCCAACACTTTGTGAGGCCAAAGCAGGAGAATCGCTTGAGGTTAGGAGTTTGAGACCAGCCCAGACATCATAGTGAGACCACATCTCTACAAAGAAAAAAAAAGTTTAATTAGCTGGGCAGAGTTAGAATATAGGCACACACCTATACTCCCAGCAACTCAGGAAGCTGAAGTAGAAGGACCACTTGAGCCCAGGAGTTCAGGGCTGCAGTGAACCAAGATCCTGCCACTGCACTCCAACCTGGGCAACAACAACAATAATACATCACTACTAACTCCCAACGTTTACACAGTGCTTTTCTAGTGCCTTTCATAAACATCACCTTGGTGGACATCAGCCCATATCACAGAGGAGAAAAGCACAGGAAAGAGAAGTGGTATTTCCCAAGTCTCCCAGCCAGTGATCTGTCTCCCTAGAGCTTGTGTATCAGGTCACCTTACCAGCAAACCTCCTAATCCATGCACTTAACACCCATGCCCCTTGTGATGCACAGAAAGAATAGACCCATTTGGAAAAGGTGCATCTGATTCCAGACAGAAAGACCTCTGAGACCCCGCCTGAGGGCTCCATCTTGGACCCCATCCCTAACTGTCCTGAAATACAGTTCATCTCCAGATCCCACATGGAGCCAAAGCTGGCTTTTCCACCATAGTTCAGGGCCAGGTGAGCACCAATGTGGCCTAGGAGAGCCCCAGATAAGTCCCTCGCTTCTGAGAAACCAGGCCATCTGTGCCTCAGCATTCCCAGAACATCCCTTCCTTCCTCCAGCATACGCATTGGTGATTATTTTTCTGACCACGTGTTCACTATGGAAATAAAAGAGGAAATTGCTAGCTGGGCTTAATGAGTGCACACACCAGCTAGTGCATCTGATAATATGCAATGCAAATAAAAGCCCCTTTGAGCCTTCTAAAACCAGCTATTGAAGTGGCGTCCCCTGGTGCCCCTGAGCCCAGTCAGTAAAATTATTTTAGAAAATAAAAATAATTGTTGTTACTCATTCCTGCTTACTCTCAAAAGCTTTTTTCTCTTGTGTTTCAGTAGAAAGAATTTTACAACAGAGACACAGGGAGTCTTTCACTTTAAAGTCCAGGGTGGGCAACTGATCCTTTGCCATGAGAGGCCATGGGGACAGCTCTGCACTTACCCTTGGACAGACAGTGCTGGGTGAGGTTCGGGGAAGCCACTTCCTCCTTCTGAGTCACCCAGAAAGTGGGCACAGTGACAGTGATGAACTAATCTTGCAGCCACGGGGTTATTCCGAGAATACTCCTAAATGCAGGCTGTCTCTGAACTTCCCTTGGCCTCAGTTTCCCCATCTAGAAAATGAGAGCGATGAAAATCCCTCCTGCCCCACCTTGCAGGGATACTGGGAAGACTGACAAGAGATGACACTTGCAAAAGCCCTTTGAAACTGCAAAAGGCTGAACTGTGCAAGTGGTTATTATGAAGGTAACTTTGGGGCACTCTGGGAGGTGAATGTCTCATCCTGCTTTATGAAAGTGGAAGCTGATGACGTTGGGAGATATAGAGCCAGCAGCTAGTTGGTGGCAAACTGAAGATTTCAGGAACCCTGTCCCAGCAGTGCTGCCCCAACTCACCTCCCCCCGGGCTCAAAGGTGCTGAGTGAGGGGTGTTGTTCATGGTCTCCCCAACAGCAGCTTCTAGAGAAGCAATGGCAGGACAGATGTAAGCATGCGCTTTGGGGCCAGCTCTCCATTTACCCATTGAGACCCAAGCAGGTCATCTCCCTCTCTGAGCCTCAGTTTCTCATCTCTAAATGGGTATAATACAAGCACACCCTTCATAGATGAGGCTGTGGTAAGGATTAGATGGAATCTCGGAGCCTATGTGTGTGCCCAGCACGTGGTGGGTTGTCCTGGAATGTGAACTGTGAGAATCAACATTGCAGCCATCATCCAAGGGTGGTCAGCCCTCTCACACCCCTCCCAAGGGTGTGAGGCCTGTAGGCAGAGCAGGCAGAGCTCCAGGTGAGCGTGCAGGCCCAGTGGACAGGAGGGTGCTGACGAAGGCAGGTGTGCTAGGCAAGAGACAGAGGCCACCAGTACCCACACTGCACACTCAGCCCACAAGCTCCTGGCCAAGGCTGGGGTGGAGGCCTCCCAGGCAACTCTGATGAGTGGGAGGGGCAGATGCAGCACCAGGCCCTGATATGGGATAGGGGTGCCTACTGACACTACTTATCCTGCTACTGTAGCCTGAGCCATGCCCCTACTAAGGGGCCAGCAATTCCCTTGGGAACCAGGGCACTTCACCAAAACCCCAGCCACACTTGGGGTCCCTCATACACCACCATGGGGGCCCCTGCTCACTCTTTGTGCTGGTCACTCTCAGAGTTGTTGGGCAAGGGGTCATCCCTGGGTGGCTTCACACTCTTCAGGAGGAGAAAGAGAAAGAACCGCCCCTCTTGAAGCCCAAAACTAAGGAACACATTGACCTCAGCGCCTTATCCAAACTCCTCTCCATTCTAGAAACTCTCTCTCTCTCTCTCTTTCTCTCTTTCTGCCTCTCTCTCTCTCATCTGCCTGTTCTCTTTTATGGGAAAATGAAAAGAACGTAACTGAACAAGTTTCACTTTGCCTTCTCTCAACCCAGAAAACACCAAATCAGTCGCAAAAGGCTTGGTGTGGGGGCCTGAGGGCTTCTCTGCTGACTCCTCCAGCGGACTCTTGTCCCCTGCATCCTCTGATACTGCCCTTTGATCTGTAATACATTCAGGGCCAAAAGTATTCCAACAGGAACCTCCCTCCTGAGCCCCCTAGAGAATCCGGAGTTGCCCAGCTGGCAGGCCCCACAGCTAAGGTGGTGGCCAGGACTGCTCCTGCTTCAGGAGCCTCCCCAGCCTGCATCCCCACACAGAGGGATGCAGTCAGCACGGCCCTCCCTCCATCTGTGACATTAATGTCCGTGGCCTGTTGCGTCTTCATGATGACCGACCGTGTGTTGTCTGTTCTCTGTTGTCTGTTAAAATTTTTTGTCGTGTAGGTAAAATGCAGGATGGCAATGTGGACGCCAGCCAGAGCAAAGGTAACCCTTTCGTATTAACCGGCGTTTGTGTTCCCTGAGGCCCCTCCCCACTGGCTCTGAGAGTCACATCAGAGACAGAGACTGGTGGGGACCAGAGGCAGACACATCCACCCCTGCAGGCGTCTTGACAACCTTGGGGGCGTAGCTGTGATTCACATGGTGCCAGGCCAAATAAAGAGGTGTCCACCGATGAGGAGGGGGCCACCCATGGGCCAGCATCTCCCCAGCCCTTGAACTCTGCCACCCCTTCAGCTGAAGACTTTGAGATCCTTAGAGTTTGAGGGGTAGAGAGTTTGGCTCAGTCTCTGTCCAAAAGGGTCACGGGCCCTCCAGTCCATCCTGCATGGAAAAGGCCACACTAACTGGGATGGCCTCTTTTACCTTTTCAGCCTCCTTTTTTGTCCCTTCTGTCTGGTGGCTACTTAATATCCCACAACAGTTCCCAAAGGCCAGCTGGGTAGAGCCCAAGCCTGTCTGTCTTGTCTGAATGTGGGAAAGGACAAGGGACCACCTGGGGTAGGACACACAGGCTTGTTCAGACTGAGGGGGTTCTAGGGTAACAGCATCAGTCCCTGCTACATCCTGGATTCCAGGTCCGAGGCAGTGAGTGCCACCAGGATCCATAGCTCCAGCTGGAAGAGGCAGGCCCCCCATCCAAGGACTTCTGCGCCAGCCCTGCGGGGCTCCGGCCGGGCAGTCAGCACCTCCCCTGGGCAGGCATGGGTGGGTGCCAGTGTCCCCACCTGTGGGCTGACCTGTGTGTGTGTGTGTGTGTGTGTGTGTGTGTGTGTGTGTGTGTCTATGTATCTGTGTGTGTACACGTGCATGCTCTGCTCCCTGCAGCCAAACAGCAGGACGGGGCAGCCGCCATGGAGATGCAGCCCCTCAAGAGTGCCGAGGGCGGCGACGCCGACGACAGGAAGAAGGCCAGCATGCACAAGAAGGAGAAGTCCGTGCTGCAGGGCAAGCTCACCAAGCTGGCTGTGCAAATCGGGAAGGCAGGTGAGTGCAGTGTGTGGGAGGCGGGGCACAGGGCTCACAGGAGGACCCCAGGCAGAGCCCTGCCCCAAGCTGGGCCTGTCACCTCATCTGCAAAGTGGGGGGCTTGAATGAGTGCCCGAAGCCCACCCGGAAGTCCACAGTGAGTCCTGTGTACAGTAGGCCCTCTATTAGCACTCAGTGACTTATAAGAGTGACGCTCAAAGCCAGGGCTCTGGTGGCAGATGGCCTGCATTCTTGTCCGGCAATGGCTGTGAAAACTTGGGAAAGTAACTTCTACTAGCTCCATACCCTCACCTGTAAAATGAGGACAATAGCTGTCCCCACTTCCCAGATTGCTGTGGGAGTTAAAGGAGGCTCTGCATACAAAGCATTAGCACTTGGCAGGTGCACTGGCTGGAGAGGGGGCAAGGCCTGGAGTTCTAAGCAGCACAGACTTTATCCTGAGGACAGTAGGAGCCATGGAAGAGACTTGAGCAGAGGCAGGCAGGAGTGGGTTTGGCCTTTTTCATGACCACCCGGGTCACAGTGCAGAGGAAAAACGGAAGAGGTTGAGAAACAGTGCCAGGAGCCTAGGGAGAAGCCCATGGTCTGAGCCCCAGCACAACAAACGGGTCATCCCAACTAAAGTGGTAACGGCCAGTGATGGCTGGTGACGGCCCCTCTGGCCCAGCTGCAAAGTGAGCCCCTGACACTCTGGCACGGCCTAGGCTTCCCTCCCAGGTAAGGAGGTAGTAAACGCCAAGGCCTTCCCACCTGGCTGCTCAATCCCTTGTGGCTGTCTCCCTAGCTCTAATTATAGACACCACGGCGTGGGGAAGGGAAGCAGATTACAGGCTTGGCTGTCTATATTTAAACTTGGGGGACTGGTGACAGCTCCCGGCTGCTGGGAGCTTGGCTTCCCGCCCCTGCCACTGTCAGACAGGGTTGGAGCCGGCTCTGAGGCGCCACACCTGGAGGTGGGGGTAGAGAGCTATGGGCCCAGGGATTTCCTCTATCCTCCATCCCACCATCGCCACCATCACAGGCAGAATATTCCATGGAAACATGGCACTGACAGGGCAGGGAACTAAGCGATGAGAACAACCCCATGGCCTTCAAAGTCCTCACTCCCCTCCCTCCTTCTTGCACCTCGGCCCTGCCAAGAATGGAGTTCACAGTCAAGCACTCCTGGGTTCACATCCCATCTCTGCCTCTCTCTTGGGCTGAATTCCTTGAGATGGGTAGGCAGGGGATCTATTGATGGGGTGCTCTCCAGTGAGACCTACAGGAAGAACAGGTCCAGGCCAGGGGAGAAGCCAGAGACAGCTGAAATTTCCAGAGAACTCCTGGCCTCTCCCGATCCCATGGGAGCTCTGGAGCAGCCCAAATCCATCCCTGCCCTACTCTGCCCAAACCTCCTCCATGGCTCACACTGTCCTCAGGATAAAATCTATGCCACCCAGAACTCTAGGGTCTGTCCTACGTCGAAGCAGATGGTTGGGCTTTGGGACCCCCGTGTCAGCCACTGGATGGTGGCCATCAGGTTGAGATGGGAGTGCATTCCCAGGCACTTCCCGACAAGGGGACTCCAGTCACCTTAGCAGGCTCCTCCTCTGTCAGAGGCTGCAGGTGTGAGCAGTCTCCGCAGCACATGCAGTAGCACCTGTAGCAGATAGGGGATGGGCATGAGTGTTAGTGGTCGCCGTGCCCATGCCTGAGGGGCCGCCATACCCCAGGGGATCAGGACAGGTCCTCAGCTGCGTTCCTACGGTTACAGCATCCCTCTCACCTGTGACTGCAAGTCACCTCCCCTCTCTGAGCCTCAGTTTCCCCATTCAAAAAAGCCACCTGCTGTTTCCTCTACCTAGAATGTTCTTCCCCTAGGCCACCATGCAACGGTGTCTGTTCAAATGTCACCTCCTCCAAGAAGCCTTCCCTGGCCACCCTAGCTAAAGTAACCACTCCCTACCCCCCACCATGTCACTTTCTATCACATCATCCTGGCCTTTTTCTTCATAGTGTGTAGCCATATCTGAAATTGTCATGTTCAGGTATTTGTTTATTTTGTTTGTTTTTGTCTTCCTCCTCCTCTAGATTGTCGGCTCCTCAAGGGCTAGAACTCTTGTCTTCTTTGCTGCTAGGTCCCTAGTTCCCAAACTAGGAACTAAGATGTGCCTGGCATGTCATAGGTGCTCAAAAGGTATTTGTTGAGTAAATAAATGAATAAATGATACCAACTTCACATCATTATTGTGTGAAAGCTCTATGCAAACCATTCCTCATTTATTCACACAGTCACTCAGCACACATCTCTTGAGCACCTACTATGTGTCGCGCGCTGTGCTGGGCACTTTGCATGCATTATCACATTTGAGCCTCACAAAATCCCAGAGAGGAAATACGCATCCTCATTGTACACAGCAGGAGACTGAGGCTTAGTGAGGATCAAGGTCTCAAGAACTTGCCACAGGTCACAAAGCAAGGAGTGCCAGAGCTGGGAGGTGAGCTGGGGTCAACCTGACCTTTCAGCCAAAGGTTTAGTCCGTACCACGCATGGCCCCCACTTCCGGGAACCCCCCGAGCATGTGTCCCTCACATTGCAGGCTTGGTGATGTCGGCCATCACAGTGATCATCCTCGTGCTCTACTTCACTGTGGACACCTTCGTGGTCAACAAGAAGCCGTGGCTGCCTGAGTGCACACCCGTCTACGTGCAGTACTTTGTCAAGTTCTTCATCATTGGCGTGACAGTGCTGGTGGTCGCCGTGCCCGAGGGGCTCCCTCTGGCCGTCACCATCTCGCTGGCCTATTCAGTGAAGGTGAGAGGGAAGGAGAGCAGGACCAGCCAGCTGATGCGGTTGCAGCTGGGGGCCTGGGGGGCCTGTTGGGGCCAGTGCTGGGGTTGGGAGTTGAACGAAGAAGCCCACAGACCCACTGGGATCTCAGAAAAAGAATGTATGCAGGACCCCAAAACTCTGACGCTTTTGTAGAGTCCAGGGGCCTGTGGCAAACCAGAGAGCCATACCCTGGCTGAAGAGGCAGCCATTATTCAGCCCGGCCACACCCCACCTGGCAAGGGTGCAGGCCCAGCACTGCCACATTGTCACCTTTTTCCAAGAGAAGCCAGAAATCTGGACATTGTGTAAACTGTCACGATTTTTATACATCGATAATCAAAGCAAATTTTTTTAAAAGTAATAAAGACATCACCATGCAAGCCAAAACTCATCCTTACTCCGCCAAATTTATGCAGAAGTCTGGCGGCCTCAGTCTTAGACCCATCAGGTAACCGTAGTGTTTGTAAAACTAATCTCAGAGGTGGCTCCCTAAAGTGGGAGGGGTAAGACGAACACAAAAAGGAAGTCTGATTTCTTGGAAGTCTCTTCCCCTGGGGAAAGAGGCTAAAAGTATAAGAAATTTTAAAGCAGCTAAATGAAGACCTGGGGCCATGAATGTTTTCTGGGGAAGCTTGGTCTGGGACCTTTCTAAGCGCCCCCCTGATGGCAGAGCCACACCTCTACCTGCACCCAGGCCATGGCTGTCTGCAGAGCCCAGTCACTGCGAGTCTGACCCTACTTGGGTCACCCCCAGGTTCTCACACCCAGGTCTCATTTTCCTCCCTTTGCCCCATGTTTTCTCCACCTAAAAGGGCCAAGCGTAGGGCTCCTGTTTCCCAGCACCCCATGCCGGAATGTCCCTGCAAGGGTGGAGGCGTGGCCATGTTTATAAACAAGGTATTCACTCTGAGAAATTGGCAAAGCCTCGGGAGGGCATGGTGAGCGTCAGTTTCCAAGCTGGAATTTGGGCTGGGCTCTCCGATGTAATTTCATACAGAAAAGAGATCTCCAGACAGGTGCCAGAAAGTGGCAGTTCTGTGTAACGAATACGGCCCTTATCTTCTTCCTGTTTTAGGGTTCTTGAAGAAACTCCATCCCCACAAACCAAAGCCCAAACAGGTCACAAGAGGCTACTTTGGGACCCGGGGCCAGCAGAGGGTGACTGTTATACACCCATGAGTAGGGGGCCTGGTCCACAGTCACTTCACTGAGCCTAGGGATGTCCTTGAAAGTTGCACAGAGCTGGTTTGGGAGAATCATAAACAGATGCTTTTAGGCCTCTGTGCCTTCTGCAGTTCATATCTCTGGCACCCAGTACCCTCGCTCATCTTACATAGTGTTACTTGTGTAGTCACTTGATAGACTTAGGAAAGCACCCCAACACAGGAGAGGCAGACTGTGCCCTCTCTGAGCCTGGACCTGGGAGCCACCATCAAGAGCACAGAGATGACTCACCACTTAGATCAACACTGCCCAAAAAGAGACAGAATGCGAGCCACATGTGCAATTTTAAGTTTCCTAGTAGCGGCCAGGTGTGGTGACTCATGCCTGTAATCCCCAGCACTTTCAGAGGCCAAGGCAGGAGGATCACTTGAGCCCAGAAGTTCAAGATCAGCTTGGCAACATAATAAGACCTCATCTCTATACAATAAAATAATGTTTTAAAAAAGAAGAAAAAATTCCTGGTAGCTACATTTTTTTAAAAAAGTAAAAATAAACCAGTGAAGTTAATTTTAATAATATAATTTACTTTACCCAATATGTCAAAATTATCAATCCAATATGTGATCAATATAAAAATTATTAAAGAACTACTTTTACATTTCTTTTTTCATAATATCTTCTAAATCTGATGTGTATTTTACACTTACAGCACATTTCACTTCAGACTAGCAACAGTTCAAGTTCTCAGTAGCCTATACACGTAGTCACAATACATACGACCACCATATTGGACAGTACAGACTTAGAGATTCTTGAGCCAACAGACAAACCCTCTTCAGAGAGTGCAGGTGGACTGAGGCCCGACTGAAAGGCCCAGGCTGTGAGGTTAAACGGAGGTAGGTTCAAATCCCAGCTTTAAATCCCTCCAGGTGCGTGATCCTGGTTAGGTCAATTTGCCTAGATTTCTTCAGTTGCCAAAATGGATTACCAGAATCTTCTCACGTCCCACAGAATTCTTAAAACATCAGGCAAGTAATTCACAACAGGACTTTGCAAACTGTAACATGTGTTGCAAATTCCAGTTGCTGTTGATCAGTCAACATGCATTCATTATTACTATTATCATAAATTACAGTAGGAGAAACTGCAAGAGAATAATCCAACTAATACTCATTTTTAGTAACATAAAGCTCTATTAAAATTATTCTAACTGTACTTCTTTTTTACCCTGGTTATAAAGAGTTATAATGAGGAGCAAAAATAAAGGAAATATAACTCCTAGGCACAGCCTAGAACTCTGATTCAGCTGCTACATGAGGAGGGCCTGCATGAAGAACAGTGTTTTCTTGATAATTACTTCATTTGCTTGAGAACCTAGAAGAAGCTGTGAGTGTGGAGTTGGGCCAGAGAGAAAAGAAGGCAGATAGAAGAAAATATTATGTATAGGAATGTTCTATTTTTGTTATAAATTTCAAAAGAACGGATGTTGATGTACAGGATTTACCTAGTTCTGCATGGTAGCTTATAGCCAAAATATTTTCTTTTTCCCTTTTGTGTATATATATTTTTTAAAGAAATGTGCAGTTTTTATTATGCAAGTGATAATATATGTTAGTCATAGAAAAGACAATAAAAATCTATAATTCTATCACCTAGTGATAATGACATTAATCCTATATCCCAATTTATTTACTTTTGGTAAAATTAAAATGACAGTGAAAACCAGGCACCAGTGAAAGAGGACATGTTCAAAAAAATCCATGACCAAATAAGGAACAGATACTTATGTTAGTCTATAAGAAAAAAACATTTAAAGTCCTCAGAGAGGAACCAATCTTATCTGCCCCACTCCAACCCCCGCTTTTTCCCATAAAGAATGTAGATTCCCTCTATAATCCAAACTAGTAAAGTCAATTAACTGAATCTTCTAAATGGTTGAGATACTAAAAGGGAAAGAAAAGGGCCACACACAGAGAAGAAGCCCAGGTGTTACAAAAGAAGCCCAGGTGTAGGAGGGAGCAACAACCAAGATGCTTTGCAAGTGCAGGAAGCAAAGGGGCAAGCCATGGGGGCTCTGCTTTATTTACTGCATGTTTACCAGTGCCTTCAGGCACTCCATGCTCCCCAGCCCCTCTCCTCACTGTTGCCCTCTCCCCTGCCCCTTCTCCCAGAAAATGATGAAGGACAACAACCTGGTACGCCACCTGGACGCCTGTGAGACCATGGGCAATGCCACAGCCATCTGCTCAGACAAGACAGGCACGCTGACCACCAATCGCATGACAGTGGTACAAGCCTATGTCGGCGACGTCCACTATAAGGAGATCCCCGACCCCAGCTCCATCAACACCAAGACCATGGAACTGCTGGTCAATGCCATCGCCATCAACAGCGCCTACACCACCAAGATTCTGGTAAGTGAGTACCAGGCACATCCACCACCAGAGGGAGCAACATCCATGGTATGGTAGAGAGGTACTGGGCAGGTTGAGCAATGTGATTCACAGTCTCAAATCCTACTAATGTATTTTGGTATGGTCAGATAGTAAGCAACATTTTTCTCTTTGACTTAATGTACTATTAATATTGCTATAATGTTTGTGTGACAAACCTTTATTGTTAATTATGTTTTTTAAATCCTGTCATTGAACCCCCACTTCTCCTGCCCACACACACACAAACTTTCTATTAGTGTGCTTTCCAAAACTTAGTGGGTTGAAACAAACCTGTGTATTTAGCTTAAAGTCCTCTGAGTCAGCAGTTCATGCTGGGCTCAGCTGGATGGTTCTTCCAGTCTCAGCCAGGATTTTTCCTGCGTCTGCAGGAGTTCAAATGGACAGTTCCGCTGATCTTGGCAGGACTCTAGGCTCATCTAGCATTGCCTCAGCTGGGCTGGCTCATTCCTGCCCTGTGTGGTCTCACCTCCTCCAGCAGGCCAACCTGGGCTTGTTCACATGGTGACAACAAGCCTCTAGGAGACAGCAGAAGTGTGCAAGGTCTCTTGAGGCCTGGGCTCTGAACCGCCACATTGTCACTTTTTGCAGCATTGTCTTGGCCAACGTAAGTCAGGAGTCCAGCCCAGATTCACAGAGTGGGATAATTTGCTTCACCTCTTGTTGAGAGGTGCCATAAACATGAATTCAAAAAGGAGAATAACTGACCATTTTCACAGTCTACCACTGATGATGATGTTGTTAGTAGTAATACAATTCATTTTGATAAGAAAAACTCTCAACTTACTGTCTCAGCTAAGCTGCCTCGACTCACCATGCTGTAAACCCTATCTGGTTTAGAAGCAGAGGTTGCTCCTTTGTAATTAAGCAGCACTGGATGAAGAGAAGCTCAAAGTTCATCCATCCAGATATCCATCAGTTCCCAGATGTGGGTCATTTCTGCCTTGTGAGCATCTGGGTGATCAGATAAGCTTTTTAGTTTACCCTCCCAATGGGCTGAGTACTGACCTCCTCCTCCTTCTGCCCCTGAGCCAGCTGCAACATTCTAGATCAGGTTGGGTTTGTGGGAGCTGCTAGCAGCTTTATTGAAAGGGGGAAGAGAGCGTGAGTCAGCAGCAAAGAGCCAAGGGCTGGTAGGGGAAGGAGGAGGCAGCAGCTCCTGCACCCTCTGCTGCAGCTGAGCAGCCACCTGCATCACCCTGGAGCAGCAGGCTAAGGGAGGCAGAACTGACAAAGGGGAAAGTAGGTCAGAGGACACGTGCAGATGTTGACAGAGAACCCTGGGGGCAATCCCAGAAATGACAACGTTTTTATCTTCTTCCCCCACTCCACCCAATTTGGGAATCAAGGGAGATCAACAATGCTTTATCCTGCTCCCCAGGCCTTCCTAAAGTAACTGGGATGCTGATAATGATCTCCTCATACGGACATGGCAGAGATGGGAACAGGACAATTCCCAGAATGGGCTTCAGGCAATAGGGGCAGTCATGTGGGCACAGCCCTGTGGGGGGACTTGGATTGAAATTTGTGTAATGTAATTATAGGCAAAAAGAGTCCTTGGGATCTGCCAGGAAGGCTGAGGAAACCTCTCCACAGTGATGAGTCTCAATTAAGCAGTGCTTTTCAGCACTGGCGGCAAAGCTGAAATGTCATTTCTAGATGTTGGTGGATTGAGTCTATCCAGGTGGCATAAAGGACAGGGGTCAGTCAGGCCATCTGAGGAGAAGGTGCAGCTGCTGAGGCTGGAGAGAGGTCAGGGATCTGGAAACTGGGGTCCTTGGTTTGTAATCCAAGGCAGGTCCCTTACCTCTCAGGCACCAGAGTCCCCTCTGTGCCTAGAACCCTGGCATCATAGGATACCTGTGCCTGTCTTCCTGGGTCTGTCTTGTATGTTCCCTGGCACATGTCCCCTGGCCACTTAATTCTCTTTGTTGCTGGGAGCTGACAGCCATCTATGTGGGAAGGACAGCAGAGCCTCTGTGTAACTGGGTAGTGGTTAAAACGTGGACTCTGGAGCCAAACTGCCTTCATTCAAATCCCTCAACAGCTATATGAATATAAACAAATTATTCAACCTCTCGGTGCCTCAGTTTCCTAAGGGAAGGGGAGAATCTTTGATCATTGTGAGGATAAAGTGAGTAGTTAATGGAAAGTGCTTAGCACATAGCACTCGATATGACTAGTATTGTAGTTATTCAGCAATAAAAATCACCCACTGAAAGGGGATTCCAATTGTAGCAATACAGAGGCTAACAAATAAATAGACAGCAGAGATATCAGGTCTAGATAAGGAAAGGCTATTGCCCATAATCATTCAGCCAGTTATCGGCAAAGCTGACCCATGGGTACCCTAAAGCCAGCTGTTGAGTCAGTTGTCCAGACTAGGTTCCTGCTCATAGAAACCAACCCTGCAGCACCTCTAGCCTACAGTCTGCTTGGGAGGAAAGGTCTGGGGTCCCCAGAGGGTGAGATTCAGAGCCAGGGCCTGCTAGCTATATGGGGCAAAAGGCCTCCCAGGGGCTGCCCTTTCTAGGCTCAGGCAAAGACTAAGAGGCTAGAGCTGCTCAGCTCAGGGCAGGCATTCAGCCACCCTCCAAACCAGGATAGGAAATCTAGATCACAGGACATTCTGAAACTATACAAGAGGAGACAGGACAGGAAGGACATGCAACGTCCACCAGCTTCACTACCCATCAGCTTTAACTGGGAAACGAGGCTGGACTGGGAAAATAAGACCCTGGGCAGGGCTGGGCTTCTATAGGCTGTATTTCCCACTCCACAAGGATGCCAGTTCCTCTGTGTCTTCTTGCTATATGATGCAGGCTGTGGGCTTTTTGAGAGCAGGAGACAGCTGAGTCTTCTTTCATCTGCCTCAGATAAACTTTTGGGAAGTGCTGGGTGGATGGGTGGTGTAAGTGAATGGACTGGTGAATAAATGTGTAGATGATTAATCAATGAGATGAGAGGTAGGTAGGGAGAAGGGGAGATGGGTGAAAGTAGTGGGTAGGTAGATGGATGTGTGGATGAATGAGTGAGTGGATGGGTGGATTGATGTGTAGATGAATAGACGGATAGGTGGATGGATGAGTGAATGGATGAATACATGGGTGAGTGGGTGGATAAACGGATAAATGGTGGTTAGGTGGATGGATGAATAGATAGATGGATAGGTGGATGTGATGGTTGGTAAATGGATGGATGGATGGATGGATGTGTTGGTTGGTGGATGGATGAGTGGATGTGTGGATGTGTTAGCTGAAAGGTGGGTGGATGGATGGAGGGATGGATGGATGGATGGATGATGGATGGATGGATGGAGGGATGGATGGATAGATGGAGGGATGGAGGGATGGATGGATAGATGAGATGTGTTAATTGCTAAATGGAATGGAATGGTGGATGAATAGATGGATGAATGGATAAATGGATGGATGAATATGTGAGTGGGTAGATGAGTGACTATGAATTTATAGGAGTCTTAAGGCAGGACTGCTGTCTCTATCTTCTACTTTATTTTTCTTGTGCCAGCAAGAGGCATAATTTGGCCTTGGATCTAGTCCCATGGCCAATACCAGTGCTCTCACTGCCTCCAGCTTGCTGAGCTGGTCTCTTCCACAGCTACCCTCAGCCATCCAGGCAGCATTGATCCATAGACCTCCCAATTAGCTGATGTCTTTTACTGGAAAATAAAAATAAAAATAAAAAAGAATTTGCAAGGATAGATTGCAAGGTCTACAAGGATTCACAAACTTTGGAGACCAAGTAGTTGAGCTCCCTCAGTTCACTCTGAGAAACAGGAAGGGATTTGTCCCAAGTCACTCCATTGGTTAGTGAAGTTAGAATCCAGGTATTCCAATACCTAGCTCAGGAAGCAATGGTTTAAAGGTTTGACTCTAAAATCCAACAGACCAACGTTCATATCCCAGCCCCAACACTCACCATCTGTGTGACCCTGAGCCAGTTTCTTAACTTCTCTGAGCCTGTGTTTTTCAGCCTATAAAGTGAGCATATCATTATTGCTCACATTCACTTAGCTAGGCTCAATGCTGTGTGCTTACCCTATCTTGCTTTGTATGACAACCCACAGAATAGGTGACACCACACCCCATTGCATAGATAAGGACCCTGAAGTTGGAGCAGTTGAGGCATGCTGAGAGTACCTGAGCAGGTCTGAGACCAGGCCAGGATTGGAACCCAAATCTGTACAATTCCAAGCCCAGGCAGGTCCCCACCACTTCTCTGCCCTGAGGCTGTTTGTTCAAGGGCTGTCGTGCAGCTTAGGCAAGCTGAGGTGTGTGCAGTGCCCCGCACAGTGCCTGACACAGAGCAGGTGCTCAGTCCAAGGCAGTCATGACTCTGTTTCCCCCTGCTGCTCTTTCTGTGCGTTCCCCTCTGTAGTTTGCTATGCCAGCCACTGTCTTTCTTGACCCTCCACATGCCTTTCAGATGAGCTGGCCAAATAGGACCATTCCCATCTCGCAGCTATGAAAACCGCACTGCAGAAACAGAAAGGATCCTGCAGGATTGCTCCTGACCACCAAGTGGCAGAGCTGGGCCCAGAGAATTCTGGAGGAATTCACCAAGAAGGCAGGGGGCAAGAGTATTCCAGGCAGGGGGCACGACCCTGCAAAGGCCCAGAGACCTTAAGCTGCGTGGCTCAGTTAGGAAACATGGTGCTTCATGGCCTGGGCATTTCTGTAGGGCGAGAATGTTGAGAGGTGAGGCCAGGACTCGGGGGAGCCAGTGGTACCAAATTAGCCCCTAATGGGCTTTCTCCTCCCTGTGCTCAGTAGAACCACCCCAGGCACAGGTGGAGGGTGTTGCCAGGGCTGAGGCTGCAGGCTGAGAGGCTGCTCAGGGGCCCAGACCCACCCTGTGCCCCATCCTTTCTGAGAATGGCAGAGCCTTTTTCCTTTCCATTCTTATTTCTTATCATTAGAAACTAAAGTTGCCCTCAGAGG